ATTACCGTCTGCAGCAAGGAGTGGAGGAACCCTGTGACCCATGTACCAGCAGCCATCTGAAGATAAAGCTTCTTGCTCATGATGACCGTGTATCACAGAGGGTTGCATATGGCCACATAGCGGTCATAAGCCATGGCAGACAAGAGGAAGACCTCTGTCCCTGCCAAGGCTATCAGGAAGTAGACTTGCAGCACACAGCCAACAAAGGAAATGGTATTTCTCTCTGACAAGAGGTTCTCCAGCATCTTGGGTACTGTAACTGTAGGGCAGCAGATGTCCAGCAGGGAAAGATTAGTGAGGAAGAAATACATGGGGTTGTGCAGGTGGGAGTCAGCTCCTATGGCAAGAAGAATGGTGCTGTTCCCCAACAAGGTGACCAGGTAGATGAGCAAAAAGGCAGCAAAGAGGGAGAAGCGGACAGCTGGGAGATCAGAAAGGCCCATTAAGATGAATTCTGTCACCAGGGTGATGTTCTCCATTTCTCCCCTGTGTGAGGAGCTTTCCTGGAAGAGTTTGAAAGCAAAAGTGTGAGAAAGTAAACATGTTGGAGGCTACAGGCATACACAAGTTAAGGCCTTCTTTGCTTTTCAAGGTGTTAGGCATATAGCCTTGAGTCATACTAAGCAGGAATTTGAGGTCCCTGCTCAGACACTTTATCACTCTGAGAAGCAAAGATTAGTTCCTAGCAATCACATTCATGCCCTGTACCTGAATTTCCCAGAGACCAATGTTTTGCCCGTGTGAGAAACACAATGCTTAATAATAATAATAATAATAATAATAATAATAATAATTTTTATTTATACCCTGCCCTTCCTGGTTCAAAAACCTTGCTCAGGGCAGCTAACAACAAATTTAAAACACTTAATTGTAAAAGCAGCATAAAATACAGTATATAGATGGTTCTTAGATCAGATCATCTGACAAAGTCATTTTCAGGTCCTTAAATTACTGAGACTCGTCAGAGCTTCTTTGTGCATTACATGTAAGTGGTGATAATGTCAATGGCCAGCACCCCGTGTGGAAGCTGGAACACGTATACTGTAGCTACGGGGCTTGATGAGGTGGGGGTTGTTAACTAACTGAGGGTCCCATGGACCCTGCCACAATGCCACACCACCTATCATGGTAAGCAGATTTCCATGGGGTGGGAAGGGGAAGCAAGGGGAATGGCAAGGGGGTCATCAAGAAAAGTGAGTGGGGACAAAAGCCCTAGCTGAGCAAATTTGTGCCTTCTTTTTACAGCAGGAGGTCCAATCTGCATGCAGTATTATTGTCTCAGAAAATTCTGTCCACATCTGTCAGTTCATACGAATGTCCTCCCTCATTCTATCTGGTGCCTCTCATGAGATGAAGACTTTGCGGCTTCACCCTCAGCCTGATTTATTCATCCTCCCCTTCCCTGCCTGTGTTCTATCTAGCCTGATGAAAAGTTCTGAAGAACTCATTACATTGTGGGTGACTTGATAAAATTTTGCCCTCATATGGATTTACAAATGTATTTATACCACTCTCATCTAAACTATTTTTCTGTTCATCTGAGCATCCCTTCTAGATAGCGCTCCTTTTTTTAGGAATAAATGTGCCAGTACTCACTATGAAGTTGTTACAGTAAGTACCACACATTAGGAGAGGGAAGGAAGGTCCCAGTACTGTTACCCTTGACTACCCACAGAAAAGAGAACTGCTTCTAGAACATTCAGTTTACCACTCTCATTCTTTGTACACTTGCTTCAGTTTATGAGTCTCATTTCTTTGAACTTCTACATTTAGAAACATCACTCTTTCCGTCTTCCCTAAGCCTTGATCTTTGTCACAACGATAGCCCCATTAAGCTAGTATCTACTGTAATAATACTCACTGTCAATGACTGGTGCGTTACCATTTCTCCAAACAGTCACTCTTCAGAATGCCTCTCATCTGCCTTGAGATCAAGGAAGGATTGTCTGTTCCTCTGGCAGCTCAAACTTCTCCTTTCAACCTCAACAGGAGCTCAAGGGAATAGCAGGCCCCAGAGCACATAAGCAATGCCAGGAAACATCTCTGCTTGCCCCCTATGGCCAATGTCAAGACCAAGAGTGATGGTTGATTTCCCAGGACAATAAACTACAGGGCTGTGAATAATTGTCATTCAAGGTATCACTCCCTAGATGTTAAGGAAATCAGGCCAAAGTTTTATGTACTCCAGTTCACCAGAGTAAGGAACTGTTCTAGTCCATTGTTTACACAAAGCTCAGAAGCTTTAGGGACTAGGTCCTTTTTGGTGGGCTTTGCTCATACCTCATGCATACCCTCCAACACCTTGTGGACAAAGTCTGGGATACCATCTTTCCAGACACCATCTTCCTGTTAGTTATCGCGAGACTACAGTGCCCATTTTGGTTGCCATGATCTTGTGCAATTCCACACCATGGTCCCCCCCAAAAAATGTGCTTTTTCTGGGCACGGCACCCCAAAATGCATGTTTTGGGCATAGTTGTCAACGTTTCCCTTTTTTTAAGGGAAATTCCCTTATTCCTAATAGGATTCCTCACAAGAAAAGGGGAAAGTTGACAGCTATGGTTTTGGGGTGCCATGCAAGATCAGGACCTACATCTTTCCACTGTGTTGTTGTTGTTCAAACCAGTGGGAGGAGCAAAGCAAAGCATATCCAGGACTTGGGCTGGATGTATTTTTGGATAACTTTCCTTGTGAGGAGAACCTGAGCTTACAGGGTTAAACAGCTCAGAGTGTACTGTTGGGAGGGGGGAAATTCTGTGTCATTTCCGAGAGCCTCCAGCCTTTGTTCTTCTCTCTATTTTCGCTTTTGAGGAGAGTGGACGTGTTTTCACGATGCTGTTCGCTGTGATAGATAATGGATAGTCTGCTGTAAATAAAACTGCTTTTAGCTGCTAAGATCCTGAGTGGACTTTATTTAAGCACACTGAAGGATGCTCTGGAGTTTTTGCAGTTTTTCTCTTACCGCTGCTGATCTCTGTTTTTGCTCAAAGCATCGGAATGTGGAGTTTGGAATGCAGAGGCCTGGCAAGAGCTGCGCAGCGAAAGCGGGCCGGACACCAGGCTTATCTGAGCAATAAATCTCCTTCAAGATTCCTTAGACCCCATTCTTTTCCTCTTGAAACAAGAGGTCCCCAACCTCCAAGGTGATTTCCATTCCAAGATACTTGTAATGTGAGCAGTGTTTAAAGTGTTTTTAAAATTGTTGGGAGGGGGGTCAGTTCTGAACGACACCAGCAGGGAACGGGAGCTAAGAAGATCTGATTTGTTTCAGTTTTGCATATAGTTTGGTAGTGACACTGCTAAGTAAAGTTTCCTCCTTATCTACTCACTGTGGATCATTTGTAATCTTGCGAATGCTACAGTGCCAGAGCAGGTCACACTTTTTCTGTGAGTGGAATGGAAATAGTAAGCGAGTTCAACCATGGAGCAGTCGCGCACGGAAGGTTGTGAACTCTCCTTCCTTGGAGGTTTTCAAGCAGAGGTTGGATGGCCATCTGTCATGGATGCTGTAGCTGAGATTTCTGCATTGCAGGGGGTTGGACTAGATGACCCTCGGGGTCCCTTCCAACTCTACAGTGGCGTAGCATGGGGGTGCAGGGGGGGCGGCCGCACCGGGCGCAACATCTGGGGGTTAGGGTTAGGGTGCGCAAATCCACGGGTTAGGGGGCGCAAATTACTTGCCTTTCCCCGGGTACTGACAACCCACGCTGCGCCACTGCAACTCTATAATTCCATGATTCTATATGCTGGAGTAGGGAAGTGATTAAAAACTCTAGAAATTTACATCAGAAAACTTGTGTGCAAGTTGCATTTCCTGGGGTTGGAAATGGAGTGGGTTTTCCCCAGAAGTTGAAAAGTGATAAATGAAGAGGGGAAAGTTGAAGAGACGTTCGTGTTCACAGATCAGAAGTAAGAAACACAACTATAAAAACCAGTGGTGTGGCAGATTTTATTGACAGTGAAACTGGACTACACAACACATCTCAACATGTTAGAACAAAAGTCCAAACAGATAATTAATAGTGGCATCTATTTATGTTTGTCATTCTGCTAACATTTCAGTGTGAAGAATTAAGATTACATATATGGTTCCATGTTTCTATGATTTATTTACTTCATTTTTATTGCACCCTTCCATCTCAAGGCAATATACACAAAACCACACAGACACACTTTACCTCCACAACAATCCTGTAAGGTAAGTTGAATTGTGTGATTGCCTGAGTGGGGACTTAAAGTGGATTTTCCTGGACCTCATCTGAAACTCAAACTGTGATATCATGTTTAGATATAGCAGAGTTGGATGGCAGCCTGAGGGTCATCTAGTTCAACACCCTCCCCTGTAATTCAGGAATCTCAAAGCACCCATGGCAAATGGTCACCCTGTTGATGTTTAGTCGTGTCTGCCTTTTCATGACCCCATGGACCAGAGCACGCCAGGCACTCCTGTATTCCACTGCCTCCCACAGTTTGGTCAAATTCATGTTAGTAGCTTCAAGAACACTGTCCAACCATCTCATCCCCTGTTGTCCCTTCAGCCTCTCCTTTAAATACTCCAATGAAGGAGTCTCCACCCCTCCTCCACTGTTGAACACCTCTTACCATCAGGAAGATCTTCTTGACAATTAGTTTGACAGTCCTATCTTGTAATTTGAACCCATTTGTTTGGGTCCTACCATCTGGAGCAGAAGGAAGCAAGCTTCCTCCATCTTCCATGTGACAGCCCTTTAGATAATTAAATATAGCTATCATGTTTCCTCAATCTTCTCTTTTCCAGGCTAAACATAGGAGACAGAGAAGATAGCTATCTTCAAAAATCTAAAGGGCTGACACGTAGAAGATGGAGCAAACTCATGTCAGGTGACAACTTCAAAGCAGGTCATTGTCAGCTGATCACTCGTAATTTAAAACATATTAAATTATGTTCTTCTTTTTCAAAGATTGGGTTATTTTGGTAGATAATGATATAGGATAGGATAATTGTATCTTAGCCATGTATCCCCCATTCCAAATTTATTGGCGTTTATTAACAATGACCCTCTTCAAAGCCCCTTTCACCTCCTTGTTCCTGAGGCTGTAGATCAAGGGGTTCAACATGGGGGTAATCACCCCATAGAGCATGCTCACCAGCCTGTCTTGATCTGGATGGTGGCTGGAGGAAGGCCTTATGTAAGTGAAGATGGTCGTCCCATAGAAGAGGCACACCACCATAAGATGAGAAGCACAAGTGGAGAAGGCCTTGCGCTTTCCCTCGGAAGAACGGATCCTAAGGATGGTAGAGATGATGTAGATGTAGGAGACCAGTGTCACCAGAAAAGCCCCCACACCAAAAATCCCACCAACAATGAGGACAACCATCTCAGCCGCATAGGTGGAAGCGCATGATAAGGCCAAGACTGGAGGGATGTCACAGTAGTATTGATTAACTCTATTAGATTTACAATAAGGTAGAGTGAAAGTCATGACTGTGTGCAGCAAGGAGTTGAGGAACCCTGTGACCCATGTACCAGCAGCCATCTGAAGACAAAGCTTCTTACTCATGATAACCGTGTATCGTAAAGGGTTGCATATGGCCACATAGCGGTCATAAGCCATGGCAGCTAAGAGAAAGACCTCTGTCCCGGCCAAGGCTACAAGGAAGTAGAGTTGCAGCACACAGCCAACAAAGGAAATGGTATTTCTCTCTGACAAGAGGTTCTCCAGCATCTTAGGCACTGTAGCTGTAGGGCAGCAGATGTCCAGCAGGGAAAGATTAGTGAGGAAGAAATACATGGGGTTGTGCAGGTGGGAGTCAGCTCCTATGGCAAGAAGAATGGTGCCGTTCCCCAACAAGGTGATCAGGTAGATGAGCAAAAAGGCAGCAAAGAGGGCGAAGCGGACAGCTGGGAGATCAGAAAGGCCCATTAAGATGAATTCTGTCACCAGGGTGATGTTCTCCATTTCTCCCCTGTGCGAGGAGCTTTCCTGGAAGAGTTTGAAAGCAAAAGTGTGAGAAAGTAAACATGTTGGAGGCTACAGGCATACACAAGTTAAGGCCTTCTTTGCTTTTCAAGGTGTTAGGCATATAGCCTTGAGTCATACTAAGCAGGAATTTGAGGTCCCTGCTCAGACACTTTATCACTCTGAGAAGCAAAGATTAGTTCCTAGCCATCACATTCATGCCCTGTACCTGAATTTCCCAGAGACCAATGTTTTGCCCGTGTGAGAAACACAATGCTTAATTAGATGGTTCTTAGATCAGATCATCTGACAAAGTCATTTTTAGGTCTTTAAAGTACTGAGACTTGTCAGAACCTCTTTGTGCGTTGCATGTAAGTGGTGATATTGTCAATGGCCAGCAACCTGTGTGGAAGCTGGAACAAGTGTACTGTAGCCACAGGGCTTGACAGGGAGTTGTTAACTAACTGCAGGGAACATGGAGACTGATAGTTTTATATACAGTGGTATCTCAGGTTAAGTACTTAATTCGTTCCGGAGGTCCGTTCTTAACCTGAAACTGTTCTTAACCTGAAGCACCACTTTAGCTAATGGGGCCTCCCACTACTGCCGCGCTGCCGCCACGTGATTTCTGGTCTCATCCTGAAGCAAAGTTCTTAACCTGAGGTACTATTTCTGGGTTAGTGGAGTCTGTAACCTGAAGTGTGTGTAACCCAAGGTACCACTGTACTCACTGCTAGATCCTCTTCCTCCTAGTCAATTGCTGGTTCATTATTTACGGCTGGATTTTCTCACATTCTCCCTTGTGCCTGTCACCACATGAAGACTTTATTGTTCCACCATGAGCCTGATTTATTTGTCCTTTCCCTGCCGTTGTTACTACCTGATGAAAAGCTCTGAAGAACTCAAAAGCCTCCACATCATTTCATGACATTTTGGTTGGCCTGATCATAGTATTGCCCTTATACGTATTTTCATCTCATCTAAACCATATTTTTATTCATCTCAGCATCCCTTCTAGAACATTCTGTGTACTGCTCCCGTTCCATGTACACCTGTCTTGATATATGAGTCTCATTTCGTCAAACTTATAAAATTACCAAACATATCTTTTCCTGTCTTACTTAAAACTTTAAGCCACAAGGATGGCCCCATTAAGCTTGTATCTTCTAATACTCACGGTCAGTGATTGGTGCGTTTGCATTTCACCAAACAGTCGCTCTTAAGAATGTCTCTCATCTGCCTTGAGATCAAGGAAGGATTGTGTGTTCCTCCGGCAGCTCAGCCTTCTCCTTTAAGTCTCGACATAAGGAGCTCAAGGGAATAGCAGGCCTCAGAGCACACCAGCAATGCCAGGAAGCATCTGTTTGCCTACCATGACCAATGTCAAGACAAAAAGTGATGAGTGATTTTCCAGCACAATAAGTTCCAGTCCTGTGAATTATTGTCCAACTCTATGTTTCCATTATTATGATTTTTTGAATACATGACTCCCTAGAATGTTAAGGAAATCCAGCCCATGTTTTATGTGCTCCATTTCACCAGAGGATGGGACAGATCTTCTCTAGTTTTTACACAAAACTCAGGAGAAGAGCAGCCAGGCAGGAGCTGTGACTATGCTTAAGTGGCCTTAGCTTTCAATGGTGAAAGAACAGAAAATAAGAAGGACCTGAGTAGAGAGATCAGTTTATGAACCTCCTGCCTACAATCCCTTAGTCATGTGGGGGTGGCAGCAGTATTCAATGGGGTAGTATTCAATGGGGGATTTTGTATGTGAGCTGGAACTGGTCTGTGACCGAAATAATAAATTCATTCATTCAACGGGGGTAGGCACTTTGCCTATTCTCAGAGCCACCTTCTTTCTCACATCCCAGCATAAGTCATGGCTGAGTCCAGGCACTAAGAGCAAGCGTGAAGACTCAAACCAAGGAAGACTGTCCATAAAACTGTCTATAATTGATGGTACTCAGTGACCTCCAGGATGAAGCCCAAGCCCCATAGTGATCCTAAAACCACAGGGAGATTGTGCTGCCTGCAAACATTGATATTAAAATTTAACTATGGCCATACACACTTCTCTCCTCCAAAAACGGGACCATGCAATTCTTTCCTACTCCTTAATGAGTCCCAAAGAGCACTGTTAACATTTATGGTGCAGTCTCCATCTCATCTGCTACCACAGAGCTCCTACCAGAAAGGTCCTCAGATAAATGCTCTGCATCCATGGTGATGTAAAAATAATGCCACCAAGAGTAATTATGATGTCATCCGAAGTGAATGGATTTGAAGTCCCCAGGATTCTCACAGGGATTAGCACACATAAGGCCAATTTGGGAGAGGCTATACACCATCCCTAGTGCTTCCTGCTCAATGACATGGTTGCCGTGTGTGGGGGCTCCACCATGTCAGATTTCAACTCTAGAAGGAACTCTCCTCTACAGGAGACAATTTCCTCCATATAGAAAACTAGATGCAAGAGAGAACAGATGTTTTGTCTTCCATCTGAAATGGCAGGAATCATCCCTGTAGGACTTTCTCTCTCTCTCTCTCTCTCTCTCTCTCTCTCTCTCTCTCCTGCGATAAAAAAAAGGATAAATTCCAGTGATGTGGATTTAAAACTTCAGTTGCAACTAGTCCCAAATTAGGTCTGAAATACTAGGGGATTGTTTGTTTCGTTTATTTAGGAAAGCGTTTATATATTGTCAGTTAGGACAACAGAACATGGCTGTGTACAACAATGTATACAATAAAATCTAAAACATCATAAAAGCAATAAATAATGCTCATTAAATCAACTGCATTAAACAGTTACGTAGGCGTGTCTACACAAAAAAAAAGTGTTGGCATAGTTAGTGGATATTGAATGCTTTATTAATTATCCCTGCAACCAATGTGTGTTTTCCACAGGAGTTTTAGAAATCATCGTATGGAGGGAATCAGTTCTGAGTGACACCAGCAGGAAAAGGGAGCTAAGAGCATCTTGCTAGTTTCAGATTGGCATATCGTTTGGCAGAGCACACTGCTTTGTGAAGTTTCCTCCTCCTAATCTACTCTCTGTAGATAATTTGTAATCTTGCAAATACTTGTTTTTCAGTGTGTCGAGTGGTAATTTGCAATGAAAGACTTGTGTAAAACTTGCATTTCTTGGGTATGAAAATGAAGTGAGTGGGTTTCCCTCCTAGATACTGAAAAGTGGTTAATGAAGAGTGGAAACTTGAAGAGACGTTCATGTTCATAGAAGTAAGAAACACAACTATTTTAAAAAAAAACCACAATGGTGTGACAAGAGTTTATTGACAGTGATACTGGATTACACAATGCATCTCTTTACATGTTAGAAGAAAAGCCCAAAGCGATAATTGATAGTGGAATCTATATAAATTTGTCATTGCTCTAACATTTCAGCTGTGGAGGGAAATGAGATTACCTATTTATTTACTTCATTTTTACTCCACCTCAAGGTATGTACAAGACTAGATACACACACACACAAAAAAAATTTGTCTTTTAGTCATTTAGTCATGTCCGACTCTTCGTGACCCCATGGACCAGAGCACGCCAGGCACTCCTGTCTTTCACTGCCTCCCGCAGTTTAGTCAAACTCATGTTGGTCGCTTCGAGAAAACTGTCCAACCATCTCGTCCTCTGTCGTCCCCTTCTCCTTGTGCCCTCCATCTTTCCCAACATCAGAGTCTTTTCCAGGGAGTCTTCTCTTCTCATGAGGTGGCCAAAGTATTGGAGCCTCAGGGCTCATTAACTCACCAAGAAACTTGCCCAGCTCCTTCAAAAATGGTACCTCCCCAACTCACAACAGTATATTAACATTATGTTAAGATTGCATTTAACTGTAAGGGGGGGATATGTAGTAGCATTGGATATCATAACCTAGGCATATATTATGTACATAGATTGTGAGTGTCCTGTCATTCAGACCTTCTGGGGTACAATACATAGTATTTTCACCAAAATTATGGGATATTGTATCCATCCCATCCCTAAGATGCTCCTTCTGGGATATCTAAAAATTCAATCCATGGAAGTACTATTGAACCTATTAGCAACTTCTAAATACATACAGCAAAAAAACCACAAACCCTAATATATCAGGGTAGCCAATGTGGTGCCCTCCACATGGTTTTGGACTACAACTCCCATCAGTCCCATTCAGCCTGGCCAGTGGTAGAGGATGATGGGAGTTGGAATCTAAAACATCTGGAGGGGGCGGCAGCAAGTTGTCTATCCCTGCACTGTCCTATTATTTTAATTAATATAACCTAAAGACAGGAGTGCCTGCCATGCTCTGGTCCACGGGGTCATGAAGAGTCAGACACAACTAAACAACAACAACAAAGAACTGTCTATGATAGCCTAACATATAAAATTTTAAATGATATATTTAGATGTAAGTTAAAGTTTTATTTAACTTCAAGGGGGTATAACAAACAAACAAAAGGTAGGTCCCAAAAAAAAAAATCAGGAGGTATTGTAAACAGACACCATTAGCTGCACTTAATTCCCATTGAAATAAATGAGAATTAATTGCAGCTACTTCTGGCTGCAATCTTAACCTTACTTCACTGCTAGTGATCCCTGTTGAATTCAGTGGGGTTTTCTTCTGAGTAATGACTGTTTGTCTGGATCAAACAAAAGTTACTTGTGTGCTCCCACTTATTGTTGTTGTTCTTAATATACTGAGTACATGAGAAAAAAGAAAGAAAGAGGATCCCACCTCAAGTATCCTACAATATACATTTTGAAAGCGAGGGAGAAATCAGGTGAAAGAGAGGATGGGAAATCAGTTACAAAAGGAGGACTGTGAGCAAGAAAAACCATGTATATTTAGGTCTTTGTTTCAGATGAGGAGTGAGAGTTTAAGCAAAAAGGTTTCAGGGAGCAAATGGCTTTGATGCTGCTTTTCCTTGGTTCAGAATCAGGGTTACATCGGTGCCCATTTTATATTATTGAGAAATACACATAGCTAAGCCACGCTTTCCCTTCCCAACTTTAATGGCGTTTATGAGCAATTACTCTTTTCAGGGCCCCTTTCACCTCCTTGTTCCTGAGGCTGTAAATCAAGGGGTTCAACATGGGGGTAATCACCCCATACAACATGCTCACCATCCTGCCCTGATCTGGATGGTGGCTGGAGGTAGGCCTTGCATAAGTGAAGATGGTTGTCCCATAAAAGAGACACACCACAATTAGATGGGAGGCACAAGTGGAAAATGCCTTGTGCTTCCCCTCGGAAGAACGGATCCTAAGGATAGTGGAGATGATGTAGATGTAGGAGACCAGCGTCACCATAAAAGCCCCCACACCAAAGATGCCACCAAAAATAAGTACAACCATCTCAGCTGCATAAGTAGAAGCACATGATAAGGCCAAGACTGGAGGGATGTCACAATAATATTGATTGACCCTGTTCAATTTGCAATAAGGTAGAGTAAAGGTCATCACTGTGTGCAGCAAGGAGAAACCCAGTGATCCATGTACCAGCAACCATCTGAAGACACAGCTTCTTGCTCATGATCACCGTGTATCGCAGAGGTTTGCATATGGCCACATAGCGGTCATAAGCCATGACAGCCAAGAGGAAGACCTCTGTCCCTGCCAGGGCTACCAGAAAGTAGAGTTGCAGCACACAGCCAACAAAGGAAATGGTATTTCTCTCTGACAAGAGGTTCTCCAGCATCTTGGGTACTGTAACTGTGGGGCAGCAGATGTCCAGCAGGGAAAGATTAGTGAGGAAGAAATACATGGGGTTGTGCAGGTGGGAGTCAGCTCCTATGGCAAGAAGAATGGTGCCGTTCCCCAACAAGGTGACCAGGTAGATGAGCAAAAAGGCAGCAAAGAGGGAGAAGTGGACAGCTGGGAGATCAGAAAGTCCAGTTAGGATAAATTCTGTCACTAGAGTGCCATTCTCTATATCTCTGCTCATAGATGAGGTATCCTGTAAGATGTGGAAAGTATCAGAGATATATTAAGAATGTTGAAGTCTGCACTCATATATAATTGAAGGCCTTCTTTGCTTGTAAAGGTATTTGACAAATAGTTTTAAGGGTATTTGACTACGGAAGAATGGAACATCCTTGTTCAGAAGCTTAGTGCCTCTCTTACCAGCTACTGAGTCTTGCTATCACCTTCAAGCATGACTTCTGAAATTGGATAACAGTGTTTAAAACACAATGCTCAATTAGCAGGATCTCAGCAGGGTAATTCTTAGGTTCTGATACTACAGCTCTTTCCTCCATCCCTTCTGAGTAGACACTTCCTCCCAAGGAAACCCCTGGTGATGGCACCTTCTAGAAACCTATTAAGCACCCCAGTGGTGACTGAGATTCCCAACATGTACAAATGGAAAGGATAGTGAATCAGGGATCAAGGGAGGGCTCAGGATGTGGTCAGGGACATAATCAGAGGATCTAGGTGAGACATGAGTTAGTAGTAGTAGTAGTAGTAGTAGTAGTAAAAAAAATTATACCACCCTTCGTCTGAAGATCACAGTCACATAATCTGAAGATTCTGTCCTAGCCTGGCACTTCAGGCCTCTGTGGGACTACGCCAGGTTCTTCAAGACCCTCGGTTTTACTAGGTTATTTGCAGAGCTTCATGCCTCTTCCTCAGTAGAGGTCTCCCCAGGATCTGGGTCAGGCAGGATTATAACAGGGCTTTTCCCAGCTTGTATGTAACATGCGAGTCTTCTTTGGGGAGACTCTAACAGGGGACTGTAGCTTACTGGCAAAACACATGCTTTGTCCAAGTCCAATCCCAAGCACCTTCAGGTGGACAAACTCAGTATATTCACTGCTGTGATATCTCACCCCCCACCCCAGTCCCTCAATGTCAGCAGTATAGAATTTTTTGGAAATAAATCTTCCCTAACACACTGGTTTCTTTTTCCTGACTCTCCCCTTTTTATGCCCATTTATAACTTGAACTATCCCATACACTTCAACAAGTTAGCATTGTTTTTAAAATGACCTTTCTGTCATCCCTCCCACCATTGTTTATCTCTCTCACACCCATCCACTCTTCCATGGTGGGTTTATTAAAGATATACTATAAGGTTTACTAAAATGAAAAATTTCCTCTGAGTTATTTCCAGTTTGAAATGTTAATTGTACCACCTTGTACATTACTTGTAACAGCTATATAGAGCTAAAAAGAAAAAGTAGAACCCTGCTGGATCTCATGAAGGGGTCATTTCATCCATCTTCCTATTCATATCCAGCCAGATGTTTCTGGAAAACCCACAAACAGGGAATGAAGAGAACAGTGATCCCACTTTATTTACACTCAGTCCCTGTTGAACCAGCAAGCCTCTTTAACCTGGCTTTAACCTAACCTTCCACTTAGCTGTTATAGCTAGCAGCCACTGATAAATTGATCCTTCATGAATTTGCCTATTCTTCCCTTAAAACCATCTAAACCAGCAGCTCTTACTGCAACTTCAGGTGGAAAATTCCATTAATTAAATACACAGTATTGTTTGAAGTACTTTCTATTCTCCTGAACTGATTACAGCCAATCAATGTCTTTGGGTGTTTCTGGGTTCTAGTACTGGATTACAAGCTTCAGCTGTTTCTTTCACAGTGTTACTTATACATTTCTTCTAGAATGACAGTTGCTATCTTCCCAAGTCTTCCAGTTTTTTTAAACAACAACAACTTGGAAGTTGAGTTCACTCCACCCTCAGTCATCTTCTTTCTTGGCAATTTTCCTGGAGATGCTGTGTCATAGAGTAACTTTGAATTCAGCCTACCCAGCCCAGGGGCTTTTTGTGCAACCTGCAACACACTTAACAGAGGCTCCTTTGAATGTCTGCTGCCTTCTCCTGGCTCACCTCCCATCTTGAGACTGTGATGTGATGCAGACACTGGGGCTCCAGTTTCAGCCTGCTTTTTCCTTCTTCCCTCTTCATTGACTTCGCTTTGTTACCTCCTAGCCGGATAAAGAGTTCTGAAGAACTCAAAACTGGCACGCCATTTCATGGCATTTGGGTTGGCCTAATAAAACAGTTTGCTAATTACAGATTTTTGAATATTTCTGCAAGAACGCTTATTGAAGTTATATTTCTATTCATCTGAGCATCCCTTGCAGAACATTCTGTGTACCACTCCCATTCCAGGTATACTTACTTCTATTTATGAGCCTCATTTCTTCCCACCATACTAACTTATAAACTTAACCTGGGCTTTTTTTCAGGGGGAACTCACAGGAACTCAGTTTCAGCACCTCTCAGGTGGGTGTCATTGCCATTCTAAGAGAATGAGGGAGGTGTTCATGG